AGCTTCACCAAGTATAAAAAAGGAAGACCGAAATGGCCTAACAGCTTGCTGTGCACAAAGGTTTTTATATTTTAATATTAAGCAGACTTTTTAAAGGTCAACGTTAATGTTGCAGGGTGCTTTTCTGACTTACCATATCCCTTTTGTGGGATTAACAGTGATCTGACACTTCTGTACAACTAAAACTACACATGACAAAGTCTTCTCGCATCACTGGATTGAAATTTTAGCGGTGATTCATACTTTGATTTCCAGCACATACTAATTCTTTAATGACCACAGGCAACACGAAACAAAAGAACACACGGCAGGTGCCTAGATAAAATAAAAATCTTTACAACACTGTAACAGCTAGCTGCTGGGATCTGTGCTGATCAAAGACACAAACAGTTTGATCACATCAACATTAACGATCACATTAACCAAGTATGAAACGAAACATCACTGCAATAAACTCACAAAATTATAACAAATACGTAAAATGTATTTTTTGGGCTGCAAGTGCATGGCCATTTTCTTGAAAGAAAAAAATCTTTTTGCATCAGGTCACAGACACCATCTTGTGGGATAAACACGTTGTTTCTGAACTTAAGATCTCGTGGTCTCAGCTTGTTTCCTTAATGTTCAGTGGGGCTCAAGTCTGGTGATCGGGGGCATGCATGGCGTAACTATCACAATCTCACCTTGCAAGAAAGATGTGCAGCATGAGGACCTTCTCTGCCCTATTGGAATAGTGTCACATCAGGTTGAACTTACAGGAAAGGCAGTAAGTAAGGTTCCAAACATCAATGTCCAAAGTGGTATACTTAATGTTTCTAAAAACACACCGAGTGATAAGGTTCTTCTGATGCTCAGTCTAATTACGGTACTATGCTTAAAAGAGAATCTCTTCTGCACTGTTTTCCTTTCTAAGAGACATCTGGGTTCCTGACATTGCCTCAGCATAGCGGGGTTGTTCAGAACTAAAAATGTAAAATGTCTCTGTTTTATGATGTTGCAGATGAACACTGAAATGAAATGGTTTACTAGCAACCAAAAGAATAAAATGTTCTGAATAGGCCCTTCTATGATATCATTTTTCTTCTGTTCCTAAATATGATCTTATTTAACTGTTTACTACACCATACCTGGGTTTCTAAAACACCCTGATGGACCTGTACAGCTGCCAAGGTAACGAACAAACAACTCTGATAAGTTTGGTCTGTCCCCAGACTTTTCTGTTTAATGATTTATTTTGTTCTTGTCAAATAACTTTCAATACGTAAATAATTACAGTTGAACAGACTGAAAGTTTGAATGAAATAACCCTTAATGCACATTTTGTATAGTGTCATTTGTTTAAAATCGTAATGCAGTATACAGAAAAAAAATACATCAAAGAAGATATAACCAATACCGCGTGGATTTTTTATTTTTTTAACCCCATTCACAACTTTTAACAGCCGAAAACCATTTGATCAATTAAACCATTAGTTTTATGAAAGGATTGACTAAGCTTAAGAAATTTAGAGAAACATTGCTGAAACAAAACCCAGAGTGTCCCCAAAACCAAGAATGAGGTCTTGATGATGTTTTTTAAACAGTACAAGACCAAAAGAATTTCCAATAAATAACACAGAATTTGATGGTACAAATGAAGCCAAAGAAAGTACAGATTTTCACAAACTTAACACAAAAGGCTAAGTAAGTCACTGGAATGCATTTGAAATTGGAAACCCAAAGGCAAATTGAGTTGAAGCAAAAAAAAGTTCCGTTAGCCTCAATAATGGAAGAAGTTGCTACAAAACGTGAAGAGTGAGATTAGAGGTCTGTAATACCAACTCCTGGCCATGGAAAGTGTTCATAAAAGCAGTCAATTACGGTAATAAACCTGTTCAAGCTCCAGATCCTCAAACGAACAGACACACGGAGAATCGCACAGGCCTTAAAAGCCCAGTGCTTCTTATTCACTGATCCTGTAGCCCTCCCAGGGGTGTCTCTTGTTCTCTTTGCTGCCTGTCAGTGGATAGTAGCTATTATACCTGTCAGTCGAACAGCAGGTAAATACGACCCGGGAGTCCTGCAAGCCCACACAGTAAATACTGAGATTTATTAAACCGACATAAAGGAAAAGCTGCCCAGCCAGATCGTGAGGCTAGTAATCCCCCTCCACACACACACTTGCCTCCGCAGCTAAAGAACAGTCAAGTTTCAGAGATGTGTCATACGCATGTTTTCTCAGTGGTTGTAGAGAAAGGAGGGTCTAAGTTCAAGAGCAACTGCGATAATTTCTATGATAATTTACAAACCATATTACAGTCTTTTTTTTTTTGTCTACAAAACAGAGCCACTGATTCCTGATGAGAAGCACAATGCTTTGGTTCAAGGAGAGTGACACTAAGCCTTAAGAGCTACACAGAAATGTCCCAGTACAAAATTGCAGATAATATATGTGAACTGTCTTGGTATACAAGGACTGCACTATTACAAAAAGCAACAAACATTGATTAAACAGCTATTTCTTTTCCCTGTATTGCGCTTCAAAAGAAACGCATCATTGCAACAAAATGTTTGCATTTCAGTTGTCTCCCTAGGGCTATCTCCAGAGAGAAAGTATCCAGCATCAAAAACATTTTACAACATATTCAAAAGTGCCTGAACAATGATTCTGAAGATACTGTTGTGGTCAGACAAAAAAACAACAGCTGTTTAGTTGCATCTGAGAAATGGTAATTTAGTCCAATATGAGAAGTAATAATTAAATGGTTTTCATCCGGAATTGGAAATGTCACTGTTACACTATGTAAAACTTAGGTCCTGTTTATTAATACAAAGAAAGATTTCCTATGTTCTCCGACAATCACAATAGTTTTTATTAGAGACCTTATAGATAAACTTGTCCTGTTATTCAAAGTCTTGCTCTCTACTAATTTGAAAGCTTGTTTTTCTTGTTTTATTTGACAGTGTTAAATGTTAAAATGTTATTGCTCATAGTATTTGTTACTATAACAAGACACTGTGATATGGAAATTACCAGAGATTTGAACTGTGTTTCACATAAAGAAGTTCAATTAAACCCTGTGAGAACTACAATGCCATTCTTTCACTTGTACTTCCAATCTCCTTTAGGGGCGGTGTATCTCTCTTAAATAAGTCAGAGATCACAGTGTCCTGGCAGCTCCCACTGGGTGGACATTGGAGTAAATCCTTGCTGATCCCATTCCAACTGCCTCTCTGGTGATACTTAACTAGGGGAAACCTGGTTGTATACTGACAAGCCCATCTCACATCTGCAATATCTGTGTTAAGAGGATCTACTGTATCTGAGTTCCAAACCAAAGTCTTGTATTGAATTCATCATTTGAACTAACCAGGCCCACACATTCATAGAATTTGAACTATTTAACTTAAATTCAGTTAACAGCTACCCTTAGCTATAATGTGCTGCTACATCAATTTTTAAATGTAAAATGATACAAAGGTGACAAATCACCACCACCTGCTCCAAACAACCCAAAGCAGGTAAAACAGGCATCAATATTTGCCTGCTTGTTGGGTCTGGGGTTCAGACAAAAAAACTGCCTAGAAAAACACAGACTGCAACATTTCTTACTTGGCACTAGGGAAGAGTTCTGCCTGGCTTTGTCACAGAGCCCCAGACCTTCTGTTGTTTCCACTGAGACAGGGTACAGGTGTGGTCCTGGTAAAGGCCCCGAGCACAGCAAAACAATGACACGATCAATGGAAGGCAAAGTAAAACACCGCACTCCCATTAACCAATACTGTACTCCTGCAATGGGTATGACAGAGATCATTACCATGGCAACCCAAGAACACTGCAAGACAGCAAAAAGAAAAGGACCTCAGGCAGGAATTCTACTGCATTAATAATGACACTTTAAATTTTCATGGCACTACTGTCCAGTTACAAAAGACCAGCTTTTACTAAGAAAAACACATCGGAGCGTCAGTTGTAGTGGCCATTTAAGGGACACTGCAGTGCCGGGCAGGGGATACTAGTGGGGTACAAAGCAGGAAGAGATTTGTAACCCTGTGCTTGAACTACAAAAAGGTCAGCACAGCCATACTCGGAACCTGTAGGAAAGCCATGATGCGGCAGTAAAAAAAAAAAGGATTTTGGCGATGACGGCTAATGTGACAGAGGGGGGGATTTTTCTCCAAAGAGGCATTTCAAAATATGAAGTTAGGCTTTTGTAGGCATGCTTGTGGGGGAAAAAAAAAATTCACACTTGGGGTGAAACCCCCCTTTTGTTAAGCCCTTCATCCTGCAGTAGAGGACTGGCCTCAAAGAGCTCGTCTGTGGTCATGCCATTTAGAAGACTTGCTGGCCGGTGCTCCTCAGTGCTGCACTCCTGTGATGAACCCCATGACAGGAGCAGCAGGGAGAGCTGTGTGATCCTGCTCACCCCCAGAATGGCTTCTGCCTGAAGTACTCACCCTCCTTTTGAACTTTTTAGCAAATATAAACTCATGTGGGATGTGGCACATGTAGAATTCAGTGGGTTAAGACTTGAAATGATAAACCTTATTTGGCTATAAAAAAACAGTGCAAGTAAAGATAGAACTATGCCAACAGGGATAAGGAAGGCCCGCAGTGAACAAGGTGTATAAGAAGGAAAAACATACTCGAGGAGATAACTTAGCAATGACAAGAATCCAGACTGGCTGACAGGCACTATAAGGATAAACAAAGGCTTAGTCACTTGTTTCCACCTCAGCAAGACCCACTTGAAATCCCACGTGGTTTCACAACAATGTTTACACCTCCTCCCTGCTGTGCACAGAAGACCATAATGTTCCACAGGCACAGTTCCTTGCATCCTTGCATCAGCAGAAGAATTTCAAATTAGCTTTGAACTGATTTTCATTTCTTCTCTGTATGAGTCTAACAGTCACATTCACGCCCCCTCCCTTTTGACACATCAAAAGTACTATCATTCCCATAATGCAACTGCAGTCACGCTGGCATCTAAAGATTCCTGCAGAGTCGCCAAACTCACCTTACAGTTTTGAAAGTCTGAGACTGGCCAAGTCAATCTCCTGATTTTAATCCAATCGGGCATGCATTTCACTTGCTGAAAAGGAGACTGAAGTCAGAAATCCCTCAGAACAAACAGCAACTAAAAATGGATGCAGCAAAGGCTTGGCAAAGCATCTCAAAAGAGCAAGCCAAGTGTTTGGTGATGTTAGTGGGTTGCAGACTTCATGGAGTTATTTTGTGCATAAAGGACTTGCAACCAAAGTTTTATACTACTTTGATATACTTGACTGCTCACCCAAAAGGGGTGATGGAATACAAAAAGTGCTATTATTTTTAAACATTTAATGCATGTATGCACAGAAATATCCAGACATTAAAGATTACATTTTGCCTCATATTCACCTTTTAATCTTAAATACATATTGCTTGAATATACTGTGAAAAATAGCAAACTGAATTCACTATTGTTATGGGGAACAATGCATTTCCAGAGCACACAATCTTTCAACACTGCACAATATTTAAACCTTTAACTTAAATCATGTGCGCACCCCATTTTAAGTTGCCCTGGTACAGAGCATTTCACACATACATTGTGGATGAAATAAGGAACTCGACAATTCCCTCCACAAAAATCCCCGCACGTACGTTGCTTTTCAAGGCACCAAATGCCAGCAACGTAGGCGGGTTCATGGATTTTCCTTCAGAAATGAAAAAAAATAGTGAAGAGCAAAACTGAACATTAAAAAATTCTTCATGTACACACTGCTGTTACACTTGACTTAGATTGTGAATCACCCCAACATTAAACATTTAAATTGAGCTCTTACCACCACATAATACATCTCAAATCCAACCAGTGGATTAAGGTGTAGCCTCTTAACTTTAAAAGCATGAACAGTGCGTGGGGGAAAAAATACCTTCCCTGAAGCAGCAAATTATTTAGTTGGTTTTGACAAGACCACAAATCGATAGCAGTTAGTAATGTTATCTAATTCTATTTATTCCTTTTTAAAGTGTATAGGTACATGGTACAGGTACATAAACATATATACTCATGTCTATACATATTCCAAGCTAAATATATTATTGTTTATGAGTAGTTTAATTATTTAGGAATGTAACCTGGACTTATAACAGAACCCACTTTATTCATTTAGCCACACCCCGTAACTTGTGGTCCCTAACCTGACTTTATTGCATTAATTCCTATGGGAAGAGCCTCCCCCCCACACACACTTTGAAGGCGCATAGGCAACGTTTACACTCTTATGGTCCTGAACTCTCTGTATTTCTCTTTTGGGAACAATGACCTGTTATACATTGTTAAGCTATACATCTCAACTTTCTGGCCCCCAACCAAGACGTATAATGGACTGTCTGTATGCACAGTTCCATATGTCACAGAAAAGGAGAAAATTTGGCCAGTGCACTAGTGCTTGAAGTCTTTACAACCACACTCCATGAGGATGACAAAGTGACATATTAACAGACTTATTCATTTTAATAGCTGTGTACAGTACTTGTGATGATGATCACGATCGATACCTGTCCTCAATTAATATGATGCATGATTGAGACACAGGCCTGTCATCTCTGGGACCAACTTCAAAAGAGCCAGTCCCCCTACTGCATGGCTTCTGGAGTATAAGATGTTAAAATTATGGCAAAAAACAATGCAGTTCTTTACAGAATATACTTATAACCTTTGAAAAAAAATCAGAGAGAGCTTGCTAGCAGTGACGTCTTTATTTACTTGTTTTGACGCTTTTCAGTGCGCTTGAATGAAAATTAACATCAAGGCTGCCCTCCTTTTAAAAAAAAACCTGAGTGGAAGCTATTCTTTCCCTGGTGTGGTTTTTTGTAGCCTGTGCTTGAAATGCTATAAGCACGTCAAACCCAGTCTATTTGTGCTCTTACGTCAGCAATGACCCTAGAGTGGGATTTTAATGAATAGGAGACTCTTATTTTTACTCAGCCTACATCGTGAATACATACTGTCCTATGTTAAGCTGCAGAATCACACAATCTCAGGGCTGTGCTCTTGTATTGGAGATTGGTTGCTTTTGAAGATAAACCTCTTTATTCTTTCTCTTGTAGATTCAAGTATCTCTGTTCAGAAGTAATGATGATGGGATGAGTATGGAGATTATTTTCTTTTTATTGACTTAACTTTTAATAGACTTTCACCCTCAGCAGCTTCATTGCCAGACTGCAGAAAGCTATTAAGTGTTAATGGTTTCTCCCTGTAGTTTTAATAAATCCTCTACAGATGGGGACAGAAGTGAAAAGCCACCCATCAGGCTTAAACAAGATCTACATTCACCAAAAAACATCATGAAGCCCACAATGATATATTTTACTCACTCTCTTCAATACTTCTTCATCAATTTCCAAGCATGTCGTCATATACTTTAAAAAAAAACTGTTTCAGGTTATTTTATAGAAACACAGATGCAACAGCCTTGAGAAAACCTGTACATTAATGAGACTATTGTTCTAGCTTGACCAGGGGTAAAGCCCTCATGTTTGCGGTTAGTGCTCCAACTTTATTTAAGGCTTTCATCAGCTCTTTACTTATGAGAATCTGATGAAAGAATGTACTAATTTCATTATATTAGTGATGTACAAAGGTAAAATTCATCTGTGTAAAATTGGGGATGTCCATTTCTAGACCTGTAGGGCTGCTGTTTGTACAGTTTTACTATCCAGCTCTCCTCTTAAGTCCGTAACTGATCTAATTATCACCTTAAATGGAACAGTTTAAAAAAGCTGTGGATCTTACATGTGGAAATATAAGATACCAAGAATGTTCATTAGTAAGTTAAATGAGAAATTTTGCAAGAAACAGTGCCAGATAACAGAGAGCTCCAGTACTAATGTGCAGGAGGTGTGAGTGAAGTCATTTGGAAGATAATTCACAGCCCCGTAACTCTGCTCTGTCATCTCCACACCATACATTGTGTATAAAGCACATTCCTGCTTATCTGCCGAACACCATAAGGCTAAGTGATGGATTAACATCTAGATCTGCCTGACTGTGACCCTGGGTTGCTGGCCCTTTAATGGTTAAGCAGTGGGTTGGCTGGGGCACATGGTGGTCTCATGGTTATGTTATGTTACAGCTATGAGAGATCCTGTACAGCAGAGGAGGGTATAGAGGTCGGACCCATCTGGACTGGTACTGGAGGGTCAGCAATCAAGAATCCAAAGATAACAACCTACCAACAAGGAACTGACAAGGAAGGGAAACGCTATACAACCAATCACCAACCATGAATACGGGACTTAAAAAGCTGCACGACAATGAAACTCTCTCACTTAAAATCTGGCAAATTCACAAGCTATTCCAACCACGTGACTGCGACAATTGTTGTCCAAGCTTGAAAATGAACTTTAGTAAAAAAAAAACACCAGGCTTAGAAGTGAGCTCATACTGTATGTAAACAGAATTTCTCCGCAAGAAGAGAAATCTTGAAACTAGCTAGCCAATTGTAAGTTTACCTGATCAGTGAAATTTTAACAGTTGGGCTTTTGGTGACAATCCTGATTTTTTTTATATTCAGAAGTAGCAGATACAACTTGGATGTGTGAACTGAGTTTCTCCCCCACTTCAGTCTCACCTGCACACAAACCTGAAACACAGATTTGGTAGCTTTCCAAAGGTATTTGCACTAAGTGGAATTCTTTCTATTGTTAAGGAGGCATCTTCAGTGTCAGGCTAAGAGAAACTTAGCAACTGACATTGTCACACAGGTTTTCTAGCCCCACCCAACCCTATAGTTGAATCGGTCTCCCCCACCCTCTGCACCTCCTCACCATCTGAGTGTTTCTTGTTACCTGCTGAGCTCCATCTCCATTGACCATGGAGGGTGGCGGAGGGGGGGCCAGGAGGGACAGGTCACCGCTGATCCGAGGGCTGGGCTCCAAAGGAGGAGTGTGGTCAGCCATGGCCTCCAACGCTAACACGGGTCTCCTTCAGCTCCTAGAACAAGAACACAGCACTCATGGGCACAATGCACATTCAGTCTGAAGATGGTATAGACTGCCCACCCAAAAAAACTAGCAAGGAAGAAAGTGTAATGCTATTTAGATTATAATATAACATCTTATTTTAACCAATATATTATTGAATCCATAAACACTTATTTTATGATACTATTTATTCTAACATAATGTAATGCATTACACCAGCTTCAATTTGATTGGCAAGCGGCAACAATGTTTTTTAATAGCAACTTGCCACAAAAAAAATCACAACAACACAACTTAATGTACTCCACGTCTTGCTTTGCTTGGAGTAACATTCTGTAGGAGACATTGCTGTAATGTTCTTTTCTGTGTCCCTGGATGCCTGCCTCCTGCAACATGAGCATTAACTTCTTACAGTGAACTTTATCAAAAGCCTTCTGAAAATCTAAATACACCATATCATATGCCCTGTGCGTTTCCATTACTACTGCTGCTTGTGTTAAAAAAACTCCAACAAGCTGGTAAGGCTTGGATTTACCTTTTTTAAATCCATGCTATTTCCTAGAATATTATTTCCAGATAGGTGATCCTCTAGTTCTAAGAATTGTTTCCATTATCTTGCATGAAACAGAAGTCAGACTTATCGGTTCAATTTTCTCAGCCTTTTATAGATAGAAACTACACTGGCAATTCTTCAGTCCCCGAGTACTACCTTTGTCTTAACTGTTGGAAGAGATGCAACAAAGGTTCTGATTAACATTAACAAAACACCTGAATAATTTTTCTCAAGTACAATTGCTAAAACACAGGCCTTGGCATTTATTAATCTTTATTGTGCTCTGAATTAGTCCAGAACACAGCAAATACATTTTGAGGGGACAGAACCTTTTTAGTTTTGAACAGAGAAGATGATACTATAAAAGAATTCAAAATACTCAAAGGCACTGACCAAGCCTGGACTTCTTCAGAACAAACAATGAAACATGAACCACAGGATTCCAAGTCGAACCTACATGGAAGACCATTTAAAAACAAGAACAAGAGGCACTTCTTTACACAAGGGAGTGTGGCAGTATAGAACAAGCTATGCAGTCATGCTGATAAATACAATACCCTCACTTATTTCAAGAAACAGCTGGATGAGATCCTTGGATCAATTAGCTTCTATCAAAGGGGCAGATGAATCAAACTGACTCCTCTCATTGGTAACGTTTCTGATGTTCTCATCTTACCACTGAGGACTAAGTCAGGGCCAACAGCTCAGCCCAGGGTACGCTCAAATCACTACGGTCAAGACAGTGAGGCATGTTAACCTACCTAACAATCTCCATGCATCACAACAACTGTTCTTATGCTGGAAAAGCTCACCTGAACCCGACCAAGTACTGCTTAGTATGCTATTTACTGGCTCCACACTTACAGCTGGTAAATGTTATGGATTCATTGTTTTAAAAAAAAAATCTTGCCACAATGTTGGAGAGTGGATAAAGATTAAGAATGTCTTCAAAAGATAAAAAGAAATACAAAAAAAGTTGTTAATTTCTTTCCTATCTGCACACCAATGTCTCGAGCTACCATTCAACATTTGATGACCTGCACCGACACTTAACATACAACTATTGGCATGTCAGCTTGGCATCAAATCTAATGTTTCAGGTCAACTATGGACATATGTCAGATCATTTAGCACGTACGTTTTATTCTTGTTCATGCATGAGTGAGGTATTTTCTGCCCCAGCCATAAATGACTAGAGATATTCTGATTGCCATTGTGTTGTGTATGAATACTAGGGGTTTTAATTTTGGCCTTTTATTTTACCAGGTCAATCTACCCATTTAGTATGTATCTTTTAAAACTGCACTTCAAAGTTGCTCATTGTTAATTACTGCCCTCTAGCAGACTACATATAATGCACTACAGTTCCCAATCATGCTTCAAGAGACGAAAGAAGCTCTTGGTATGTTAACAGTATAACCCTAGGTATTTTAGTAATAAAAAACGAGAACATGCAGCTGGTACTTAAGTTGCATATGTCTAAACACCCGTCCATTTTCTAATCCGCTCATTGAGTATAGGGTCAGGGGCTGGAGCGTAACCGGGCAAGAAAAGGGTGCAAAACAGGATACAGGATATGAGATGCCAGTCTACTGCAAAGCACATAGAAACACAAATACACTCCCACTAGAGTCTATTTACATAAGTCACCTAACCTTTCCAGCATGACTTGGGACTGCAGGAGGAAACTGGAGCACCCAGAAGAAACCCATGTGAATATGGGAAGAACATACACAGCATCTCAGGAATTGAACCCAGGGCCCCAGTGCTGGGAGGGGATGTCAAAGTTCAGCGATTTAACACTTCACAAAATAGGAAGAAGAAATAAAATATGCAACTCATCAAGACGTGAGGATACTAATGAATATTGCTCTTCACTTTCAGACTATATTTGGTGGTCCACGCAGAGATTTACTTAAATGAGCAACTGACACTTGACATTATTTCAACATTAGAATTGCAGAGTAAACCTATCCTAAATAATGCAACACTACTGAAGTCATATCGTTCTGTCTTTATCGGTTAGGCAACAACTCAGGACTGCAGGAGGATGCATGTGGTGATGTACTGTGAGCTGCTCCTGGAAGCAGATGTTTTACCAAGAAACCGTATGTCTCTCCCAGCCACCCACTGCCTCAGCAGAGGTAATAACGCTTAAATGTGTCTCTCTCTGAAAAACAATCATTACACTAAAGAGAAGACAAATTTTGTTGAACATCTAATCCATATGTCCTATTTGTGTGGCAAGGAACTACAGCAAATTGATTGGTGCCATTAAGAACTGTGTCAGGAGAGGACAGCGTGCAAAACACAGCATTTTAGTTCATCTAATTGCTATCAATTAGTTACAGACCAAATTGCGAGCTTCAAACAACGGAGAAACAAAAAAAACACTTGAGTATAAGTGTTTATTCCCTTTTTTTCTTTCAATAATAACTTAAAATGCAAATCTCATGAATACTATACATAAGTAATAAAAAAAAGACTTTTTAGCAATGCCACCTAATTAAACAATTTTCTAATTGCTTTATCCAATACTGGGTAGCAGGGGAGCCTGAATCTATCCTGGCAAGCAATGGACAATTAACCTACCAGTATGTCTTTGGACTGTGGGAGGAATCCGAAAACCCATGTGAACATGGAGATAACATACAAACTCCACACAGATAGCACCCCAGGAGTTGAACCCATGTTACAGCTGCAAGGCAGCAACACTATCCACTGCACCACCATACCACTGCCTGATGAAGACTCAAAAACTGACAGGACGATGAGTACACTACTTTTCTGACAAAGGCAGAAATGCACTCCTAATGACCACACTGAAAATGGACTGTTACGAAAACTTACAGATTTAAAATAAAAAATTAACTCAAATAAAAAACAGTTTCAGGAGCTAGAACCAGTTACCCAATGTCAGAAACTAAGGGTACAGTCTGAAAAAAATGTATATAAAATTCAGCTTTTATAATGGATGATCATTATTAAGAATCCTCATCATTAAGAATTTGACTCCCTTTTGACAATTGTGCCACACAGGCAAATCCAATCACTCCTTCACTGATTTGTATCTCAACTGTATGCATGTAGCTAATTTCTCCTTTGTGCTCCCTAATCTCTTGCATTGAAACATACCAAACTTTATAAAGGACAATGCTAAGATCAGCTTGACATCAGAAAGGCCTGGACCGATTTCCCATGAGCAGCAAACTAGACACAGCAACACCTCCAACACAACAGATTTAAGCAACTTCAATCAGATTAAGGCAACTCATTTAGTGTATGGTGGAACCCTTAAACTTAAAAGCACATGACACTACCGTCTGTACCTTACTGTGAAGACATCATTTACAGCAGAGTACAGGCCAACATCTGTCCAGCCTAAGAGATGCTTCCCTTAGCATCCAAGGAGTTGAGAAAATATGTTCATGCAGTTTCTTTCTTTATATACTGAGTACCAGACCAAAGCAGCTCTGCAAAGGTGAGGATTCAGGAATAGAGTGAAGACAGAGCCCGAGTCTGTGTGCTTCATTCTGACACTCTTCAAGGGCACAGTTACAAGCTCTTGGTTCCTTGACAGTCTTTCAGCTTTTATAGGGGCCGGTAGTAATGAGTAGAGAAAGATGTGCTTCATGTTCGCCTGCTCTAATTAAGCCACACACGTGGCTCTGTGAAGAATCTGCAAACTTGACAGGGATTAAAATCAGAAGGACATGCAGCTTTCTAACAAACCAAAAGATCTGACGTGATGTGGTCAAGACACCTTAACATTCAGATTTCATGGTCAGTAGAAAAACAATATAAAATGGATCGAGCTCTTGTTAGAACCCAGCCTATTCTGGAAGTAATCTGCCATCTAAAAGCACACCACTGAAGAAGAACCTTGATTTTGTAACAGATAATGCTTTTAATGCAAATGAATCATTCCTGGAGGTTTGATTTCAGCAAGCGTCTCATCTTCACTGCAAGAACCTGGGTAAAATTTTAAAAGACAGGGCCACATTAACATTAACACGTGGCATGTAAGCCAACCATAACACATGAACAAATGTGACCACAGGGGAACATCTGGCAAAGGGTTACCTGAAAGAGTGGAGACTAGCTGTGAATTCAGGGACAGCCATTTTAATTCAAGTGAAAGTCCACTGAGCTACTCTTGTTTGTTGGCACGCTGAATGACCTCTTCCTGTGTTCCAAGGTCCCAAACAACAAAGCCCCGCCATATCAAAACAAGCATTCAATGTTATAAACCAGTTAAGCGGATTTATAGCCATACTGACCACACGATGCCCGATGCCCCCGTGTACCTGCCTCAGTTTTGTTCTTATCATTTTTACTAGTGACATTTTTCTTTTACTGGATTTAAATTGTTTTCCCATTTACTTTTATTGTATTTTTAGTGCTATATTTACTTTATATATCATTATGTATTTTGTAAGTGGGCCTAGATAAGAGTA